GAATATTTATCTTGATTATTTCTAGGCGAAAAGTTATTTCAAAAATTTTATTTGCTAGAAACCTTCCCAGTACTATACTAAATAACTTCCCAAAGTTTCATGGCGATCCAATGAGTGGTTTGGTCAGGCATAAAGGACAAACAAACAAACAAACAGACACACATACATTCATTTTTATATATATAGATAGACAAGCAATTTTAAGATAACACCATATGTAAAACAATCGGCCAAGAAAACAACAACGATATTACATCTTTCTCACATATTCACACGCAATCTTGATTAATAATTAAAACTAATCTTTAACATTGTTTATTATACTTCATAATATATAATATTCGTTAGGCAAACTTTCACTCGGATAAAACCCGGGCGAAGCCGAGTACACATCCGCTAGTATATATATATAATTGAATGTCTGTCTGTGTGTACTCTATAGATTCAAAAACCATACATCCAATTGCCGTGAAATTTGGGATATTATTAGGTATATCCCCGGGAAGGTTTTTGAAAAATAATTTCTTGAATAGCTTGAATATCCTTAGAGATTTTTGCAGATTTGTAGATTTAACTCGCAAGCAGCGCCACCATTGCGACGATGATAACAAGTTTTTTATCTATAAGTTTTATTATCACTAAGTTTATTATCTTAAAGATTATTTATCAAAAGTAAGATTATCTCAGGATGACACGGCAATTTATTTGAGACAAGAATAATGATACAATTCAAGGCGAAGATACTATTCCTTCAACTTCCAATTACCGAGGGAACCAATTAATATTGATTTTATTCAACTTATCGAGTATTTTTCAAGGGACCGGGAAAAATGTTCACTAGATAAAACGATGATTTTGTAATGTAGAAAATTAGGAAAGACAAAATTCAGGATGACACGGCACACAGGGACCGGGAAAAAATGTTCACTTTATCGAGAGATTCAAATTTACGAGTTTCAAATTATCAAAATATATCTTTTTTTATAAGTTTATAGAGAATTGTTTTAACAAATGTTCGTTAGACAAACCTTTACTCGGGTAAAACCTCGGGCGAAGCCGGGTACATCCGCTAGTATATAATATAAATGAGTTTTAAAAATTGTAAAAAAAATGCATCGGCCGGGAATCGAACCCGGGCCGCCCGCGTGGCAGGCGAGCATTCTACCACTGAACCACCGATGCTTATAAAAAATGGCCATATTTGGGTATTCATTCCATTCCGGATTACTCCGCGTAAAAAAAGTCCTTCAAATGAAAAAAGAAATAGCCAAAAATACTAATCAAAATGTAGCCGAAAATTTTCCTCAGGTTTATAAAAAGCGACATGCAAAATTTGGTACCAATTGGTTCAGTAGTTTTTGAGTTTATCGCGAAACAGACAGACAGACATTGACTTTTATATATATAAGAGATATGTCAATATACACTATATTTTCATATGTTCCATAATTATAAATAGTTTCATAGACACTAAATGTAGATACAATTTTTAAAGTGCCAGCTTGGTCATCATGTAATAATAAATAAGCTATTCAAATTAAAAATACTTCGGCCAGTAAATCTTTTAATTGTCTCGACGTTTCGACAAAAGTCTTTTGTCCTCGTCAGGACAAAATTTACTGGCCGAAGTAGTCTTTAATTTGAAGAACTATGAATGCCGGCCAGGCAACCTCTATCTTTACGATAACAAATAAGATTAAAGTTTTATTAAGACAGCCGCACCAAAGGTTTTACGACCGCTATTGGACACCGACAAAAGGGCGTACGACAAAATATCATCTCTCCCTCTCATGTAGATAACACCCTCCTGCACCTTGTCCGTGTCTTCGGCGCTGGCCTCTCTCTGAGGTGACATCCAACCTGCCCCGTTCTTTGTGTTACCTATTGAACCCTGAAACCACTTTTGGCCCCATGACTGCATAGTGCCTGCCTACCACATACAGCTAAACCTGTCTATAGCGCCCCCTCTAAATAGCGCCCGATTTTGAATACGTAGTACGATGCGATTTACATAAAAAGTGACTTCTCTATAGCACCCTATTTTGGTGAGTCCCAAGAGAGGGCGCTATAGACAGGTTTAACTGTATACATTTTCGTTATGAAAAAAAAAAGGCATAATCTGATAACTGAAATGAGTATTAAAGATGGCAAAGCGCCATATATTTTCATAGCAAGCAACAAAACTTTAAGGTAATTTTATACCAGAATATTATATAAGGTCACTTCGTCTCTCAAATTGACACAAAAACTACGCGTCGTTTTTAGAGACGGTCAAGCGCATTGTTTTAGCGTCCATTTTGACGTAGGGGTGATCTTTGTTTTTAAAGTTAAGATATTTTCATATGCATACATTGATATTTATATACAGTTAAACCTTTCTATAGCGCACCTTCTAAATAACGCCTCCCTCTCTATAGCGCCCGATTTTAAATATGTAGTACGATGCGATATTGACATTAAAAGTGACCTGTCTATAACACCCCCTCTCTATAGCACCCTATTTTGGTGAGTCTCAAGAGGGGGCGCTATAGACAGGTTTAACTGTATATTGATAAATACTCTTCAATATGAAAAACAATTCACTTAAAGAGTATAATACGAAGGACAAATATTTCAAACTTTAAATGAAAGTAATTCTGGTAGATCCCTAGAGTCCCAAATATGTAAACAAAGGCTGACCTACTTCGGGCAAACAATGAGAGCAAATTGTTTAGAACACATATTGATGTTGGGAAAATTGAAGGAAGACGAAAGTCCAATGAGATGGCTGGAAGAGGTCAAGGAAACTAAATGGTCACTAGGTGAACTTTGAGTGATAGTTACTAAAAGTTCAAATTGGAGAATTAGACATAAATAAATTATAAGGCAATAATGTACCATCCATATACAGTTAAACCTATCTATTAACACAAAGATATAACGCGCCATCTATACATATAAAATAAAAAGGATTTAAAAGCGCGAATGTTTCTTTTATACATAAAACGAACTTCTACTGTCCTTACTGCGATGAAAAATATATTGGGAGGGCTTGGCTCATCAGTGGTGAACCCTCCCAGCGGTTTCGCCAATTTAATCCACCAGACCGCTTCTCAGAGCTCTAATATTGTATTGGATCATTCTGCTTTTATATGCTACACTGAAGGATGGAATCTTAGAAATGGTTTTCAAGTAAACTATGGACATAAGCTTATAGGACAGTAGAATTACATTCAAATATTTGCTTCGAGCAATGCTTTTCAGCAAACTATAAAGACAAGGCCATTAGGAATAAATTAACACAAAGCTATAACGCGCCATCTATACATATAAAATAAAAGGATTTAAAAGCGCGAATGTTTCTTTTATACATAAAACGAACTTCTACTGTCCTTACTGCGATGAAAAATATATTGGGAGGGCTTGGCTCATCAGTGGTGAACCCTCCCAGCGGTTTCGCCAATTTAATCCACCAGACCGCTTCTCAGAGCTCTAATATTGTATTGATCATTCTGCTTTTATATGCTACACTGAAGGATGGAATCTTAGAAATGGTTTTCAAGTAAACTATGGACATAATCCAATACAATATTAGAGCTCTGAGAAGCGGTCTGGTGGATTAAATTGGCGAAACCGCTGGGAGGGTTCACCACTGATGAGCCAAGCCCTCCCAATATATTTTTCATCGCAGTAAGGACAGTAGAAGTTCGTTTTATGTATAAAAGAAACATTCGCGCTTTTAAATCCTTTTATTTTAAACCTATCTATAACGCCCCCTCTTGGGACTCACCAAAATAGGGTGCTATAGAGAGGGAGTGCTATAGACAGGTCACGTTTATTGTAAATATCGCATTGTACTACGTATTTAAAATCGGGCGCTATAGAGAGGGAGACGCTATTTAGAGGGGGCGCTATAGACAGGTTTAACTGTATATAAGAAATAATTCCATTAATCACGATTGTTTCATTTTCCAATAAATCTTTGTGTATATGTAAATATGCTGTCCTAAAATTTCATGTACATAGTTTGATTAAATATACCATAACGATGGTTCTATTCCTCACTGCCGCATATATAAGCAGAATTGTCCAATACACTATTAGAGTTCTTAAAAAAACGCGGTCTCTCTGGTGGATTAAATTGGTGACTAAACCGCTGGGAGTGTTTACATCTAATAAGCCAGGCCCTCCCAATAATTTTTTTTATCGCAGAAAGGACATTAAAATTTTTATTTTATTTGAAAAATAAAAATTATGATTATTAAAAAGGCTTTATTTCTTATATATAAATTAGAGGATATTTTATAAAAATCAAAGGTCGTTCTCCAGTCAAAAATGAACGTCAAAACTAAACGCCATCTTTTAACAATCGCCGCAAACTAACATCCTCGGGTCGGTGACAAAGCCACAACACCAGCTTTGACAAACTAAAAGGCGTTCACTTAGAAACACGGTTTCGGGCTAATGATCCTACTCAATCCAGGGTGGACTTTACTGCATGAGATACACGGGAGAGGCGACCTTTTTTTTATAGATCAATTTTTCTCGGCAAAATTTCCATCTGGAGAATATTTGTCCATTTAGTCACCAAAATTCGAACTCGACTAACAATACAACAGCGATGCTACTGAAGGTAGTACCAATGTAGGAAAGTAGAACGAGTAAATTGTAGATACACTGAATGTGTGTGTGTGTGTTGGTGCAGAGGCCACTGTAGGAGAAATCTCGACCCTCATGATTCAAGGATTCTACCAATGTCAATGTCAGAAAATAGAACAATTGTAGATATGACGTTTGAGAATTTTACCGCAAATGTTTCTTTTGAACGAAAAATCGTAATTTATTTTAAGAAGAAATAACAGCTATTTCTATCCTTAGGGATGAAGTATGAAAGTATGAATTGGGAAGAGTAATGATAAACGGAAAAATAAAAGTATCCAGGGATAGGAATCGAACCCACAGTGTTTCGCTTACCGGGCAGATGCCATGTCCACTAGGCTACCCTGGAAGGGAAAAATATATCCAAGAAATCTTAGTGGACATGGCATCTGCCCGGTAAGCGGAACACTGTGGGTTCGATTCCCATCCCTGGACACTTTTATTTTCCGTTTATCATTACTCTTCACAATTCATCCTTTCATACTTCATCCCTAAGGATAGAAATAGTTGTTATTTCTCCTTAAAATAAATTTCGATTTTTCGTTCAAAAGAAACATTTGCGGTAAAATTGTCAAACGTTGTTCTACAATCATAAGCCGCATTATATTGTATTATAAATTGTAGATACACTAAATGTTGTTACAGAGGCCACTGTAGGAGAGACCTCAACCCTCATGGTTCAAGGAATCTACCATGACTGCGAGGCCATCGTCAAAACCAGAGATGAATTGATGATGAAAGAAGACGTCGAGTTTTGGAAACTTCGATTTTGTTGGTGAGTTTTCTCTGATCCACGAGCTATTTTAAGTCAAATTCTATCTAATTATTGGACAATAACACGCCATCTACACTCATAGACAAAACTTAAGGAAGTATAAAGTCTTTAATGTCGCCGGACTATTTATTTATTTTTTAAGAAGAAGAAGAAGACAAAAGGCAATTTTGTCCACACTTGGTTTCTAGTGTGTCTTCAATAAATTTCGCTGTGTATCAAATATCTTTCAGAGTTATTGGCACTGTAGGACCAGTAACGGTGGCTCAACGACAGGTCACTGTGATGATACAGACAGACAGGTATGTCCTTTATCCCAACGTAGACTGATTTGGCTTAAATTCTTTCCATTTAGATACACCTCGTTCTTTTATATAGGCCTCACCGATCATTTTTATTCAAATAATTCGTTGAATTTTATATTTTTATAATGGTATTTTAATATATATATATATATATATATATATATATATATATATATATATATATAGTGTAGAAACTATATAACAAAATTATAACAGTGATTCTAATTTTAAAACTTAAGGAGCAAACTGATAATAATGATAACTTATATCAATTAGATTTGATTAGATTAGCAAGCTAAATCTAAATTAATTATAATAATAAATAGTTATTTAATTTTATAGTCCAGTTTTGTATTAAGATTATCTTCACTATTATGAATAAGTATTATTATAATAGTGAAGATAATCTTAATACAAAACTGGACTATAAAATTAAATAACTATTTATTATTATATATATAATAAATAGTTATTTAATTTTATAGTCCAGTTTTGTATTAAGATTATCTTCACTATTATGATCATTTAAATTCAAATTATAAAATTTGTAAAATGTTATTAATTTGTAGATAGAGAGAGAAAAAAAAAATTCTTTACTTCTAATACATCCTCAAGTTAATTATATATTTATAATTAATAACAATAAAAATTAACAACGTAACGTCTATTACATCGGCTTTTACACGTCATTTAGACATACTCTAATCCTATATATAGAATAATCGAAGAGAGAATATATATAATAGTTAGAAAAAAGGAGAAAGACAGAACCATGCACTTTTAATCAAACTAATAATAAGGAAAAAAAAAAAAATTTTGTAAAGAAGGTAGATAAGATTGTTAGTATATATATATATATTTTTATGATTTTATATTTTATCCTTTTTTTTTTTTTTAAAGATTTTTAAAGGTTTTTTTATTTTATAATATGATTATAAATAGTTGTATTTAGTAATATATCTATAGTATGAATTAACATTTGTTATAAGTTTGGATATTATGTTTTGAAACCCTAATGGTAGACCAGACATACACAAAAAACTTTAAATTGAAATAAATTGGAAAAAGAGATCTGCTGGACCGGGGATCTTCAGATAAAAGTCCAACGACATTTCACCCCTTCTTTATTATGTCATAGATCTCTTTTAAACCGGATTTTATGTGTTAATATTAAGTTGTTTCAGTGAAATATTTAAATGAACATATATAACAGATACAAGTGTTAACAAATTCAAACTGTAAACCTACCTCGACCGCGGCGTCCTCCATTGTGAATATCTATTTCTGGCTGACACATGTTGCGGGAGGGGAATGTCCCCCCACATTTCAAATTTAGACCATTTATTCAGAATTTTTTTGAACAACAAGAAAATTAAAGAAGAAAGGAAAAATAGTTAAGGGAAGAAAGCTGAATTTCATAATCTTTACAGTTAGTTATATCAAAATAACTGATTCAACACTTATTCATCTTTTAATATTCCTTTAAAAAGGCAAATTATAAGAGTTTAATAAAGCTATTAATTGTGCAAATTCATCTTTATTTAACTTCCATTTTCCTCCCCAGAAATTGGAGATTAAATAAAATGAACTTTATACTATAACACTTTAAAAATCTTGTGAGAATATCTTTTAATCAGTTATTTAATCAAAGTTTAATTAACTGTTAAAGATTATAAATTTGTATTAGTTAATATTAAGAGAAATTATAGAAAGTTGAATTTATAAATGGATATTTCCATTTATTTTTTTTTATAAATATTTTATAATTGATATACTGTTGAAATATTTTACTTGTTTGATACTAAATTTGTTTTTAATAAATTCCATGTTTAAATTTTTAACATCTTCTATGAAATTATCTAATATATTATTTATTCTATAAAATCTTAGAAACTGACCATAATATATACCTTTACAGCAATTTAATGATATATTAGAATTCATATTACAGTATTTTATAATATTGAAATTATAATTACTCTTTTTATTATAAACTCTAACAGCACTATTTGTAAGGTCTATATTCAAGTCTAAAAAGTTAACTTTTTTGTTTCTATAAATTTTTTCATTGTTCTTAAGTTTCAAGTATTTAGGATATATTTCAGGTATTAATTTTTTAAACTGTGGATTATTAAATATTATTATGTCATCTACATATCGGAATATTTGCCAATTAATATTATTTTGTAGAAAGTATTCTCTTTCGTACCAGAACAATATTAGATTTGCTAATAACGGACTAGAAGAGGTTCCCATGGGAACGCCTTCTGATTGAATATATATTTTATTTTTAAATTCTATATAGTTAAAATTTAAAAATGTTTCCAGTAGAGTTTTTGCTGTTTTAAGATCTAATTTAAATGTTTTATATCTGTTATGAATAATTTTAATGTAGAAAGTTTTGTCATTAATGAATTCATTAAATAAATTGGTTATTTTATTATTTAGATCTCTTAAATTTATTTTAGAATATAGGTCCTCAAAGTCAAATGTGTGTACTGTTTCAATGTTTGTCCAATTGTTCATTAAATAATTAATGATTTTTTTATTTGAGTCGATAAATTTATAATTATATTTATTAGTTAATTTATTTATAATAAATTGTAGTGTTGAAGTTAATTGTATATCAATATTTTTTATGACTGAATTTATACCAGATGTGATTGTTCTGAAAGAAATAGGTTTTTTGTGTAGTTTAGGAATTATATAGAACTTTGGTATGTTTGGATTTTTGTGGTTATTATAAATTTTTAGTGAATTTTCAACATTTTTGATGTCTTTTTTGATTTTTGTGCCTGTAGTTCTAGCAAAAGTGTATTTATGATTATTATCAATTTCCTTTTTTAGTATATCGTGGTATAGATTTTTACAAATTAAAGATAAATTATTGGAACATTTATCTATAGGAGTGATAATATAGTCCTTCTGTAAATTAATTATATTTTCTTTAATAGAAGGAATGTCTGAATTGGGTTTTGTGTATTTAAGTGTATTATTATAATAATTTATAATTTCCTTTTTAATATTATGTTTCCATTCCAGAAAAGTAAATTCTGGAATACTGTATTTTATACTAGTTTTATTTATGAAAATATCTATATCTTTTAATATAGATTTAATTGTATTATTATAATTGTGTTTAATTTGAGGTATATATTTATACCCTTTATTTAAAATTTTTTGATATTCTGGATTTAAAAAAGAAAAATTGCTAGTTAATATATGACCTGAGAACTTATATTTATCAATATAGTTGTTGCAATTACATTTAATTTTTTTAAAATTTGCCAAATTATTAATAAATTGGTTATAATTGCAAACTAAATTACCTATATTTTTATTGTATCTCCAGATTGTTTTGAAATTTAAATTTTTTATAGGGAAAAGATTATTGATGATTTGGTTATTAAAAATATCATTAAATTTAATATGATTAAATAAATTGTTATTAAATTTAATGATAATATTAATGTTATTAGTAGCTTGTTTAATTTTTCTGTATTTAAAGATGTCGTGTGTGATATCTATTAATCTGTTAGTCAGATTATGAATTTTAATATATTCTATGAGTTTGATAAATTTATTATTATTTAGTTTAAATAATGTTTTAATAAATTTATCGACGAAGTTGTTAGTGTACATTTGTTTTGGGTCCAGTAATTCTTCAAATTCAATGTAACCTAATTTATTTGTAGTTTTACCTCTAGTTTTATTAGGTTTAGTTTTAAATTCATTTTTTTGTATTTGCAACTGATTTCATAGGTTGAAATTTCTTCTGTTTGTGGTTTGTATGTGTAGTTTAATTCGTCGTTAAGTCCATAAGGGAATAATGTGTTGTGTTTATAAATGTAGTTGTTTTCTAATAATAGTCGTTGTTTTTTGTTTTGACATATGTCTAGTATTTCTATCTTAAAGTTGTTAAAAGTATGTAATTGATTGTGTTCTTTCATATATATATTACCAATTGATTTTTTAGCGTGGTTTCTATGTAGGTTTATTCGTATATTTAATGGATTACAAGTTTGTCCTATATATGATAGTTGACAAATTTGGCATGTTAATTTATAAATAGTATTCACTAATTTACAACTAGTTGTTTGAAAAGTGTCATGGTTCTTAAGAGAGGGACAAGTTTGACAATTTTTTCTTAGGCAATTCTTAGCGAGTTTAAATTAACATAAAAGAGGTGCTAACACTAATATGTTTGTAGTTTTTTTTAGTTTTTTTAGTTTGTTATTCTTATGAATTTTTAAGTATATTTTTCTTAATTGTTTTTGTGGTGATAAAATTTGTAATGAATTGAATAATTAATCTATAAATATATAGATATTACTGTTTGTTATCTGTTATATTTTTAA